TGGAGATTAAATACAACAAGCATTTCTTTTTTTAAAACAAATGTCAATAGTTGCACAATCTTGGCTCTAGCACGTTGTCTCTGAGTGCTTTTTTGTTTGCAAAGAGGCTAAACATTCTTCAGGAAGTAACATTTTGGCTGAAAATGTGTGGCTACATTAGGGTTTGTGTGTGTGTGAGCAGTGTCAACAAAAGACACAGACCTGGTGGGAAACAGCGAGAGACTCGACGTGCACGGTATCGGGAATCAATGAACAGCAGAGTGAAAAGTGGGATAAAACGAACAATTTACTGCTGAACGCCCCTCTTTTTACTACACCCTTCGGCTTTACCCCTAACACACACACACAGACTAAATATACCAGCTCATCCATCACGTCATGTCAACAACATACATTTACCTAATGAAAATAACCAGCAAACAGTGCATTAGCGTACGAGCCTCAGAGGTGAAGGGCGTCATACACGTGAGGAGGGAATTAGCTTTCAGCTGTCAAGCGCATCACTGAGTGCTTCTATGGCTATCAGTCATACAGACCTCTCTACTCCAGGCCACTTCAAATGGAAAGCTATACATCACCGGGCTCATCCTGTGCTGAATTACACTGCTAACGGAGGAAAGGTCAAACTGAGAGGAAAAACACACAACAGCCATACAGAAGTTTGTGGAATCAGACCCTAAACAGCTGTTTTTAGAGCATACAGATTCCATACTCATTCCATAATCCATGCTTATTTATGGCTCTATATTTTTATTCTTCGACTCCTTATTTATCTTATGCTGGGCAGTAGTGCAGCTAATGTCATCAACTTTCTTCTAATTGGATGCCCCTCATTAACAGCATGTAGGTGGAGCTTCTGTGATTGCAGAGTACCTGGGAGGACCTTTGAAGGATACCACGTCTTTCTGACATCACACAAAGCCAGAAATAGAAAAACCTGTTTGAAATTATCTTAAAATTCGGCAAAGTGAGCAAGACTGCAGTGATACCTAATCGAGAACTGTTCCACATATTTCCACTGAAGAAATAGAGAGGTGAAACTGTTGAGCTTGTAAGACAATTAGGTCCCAATTTTGTCCGTTTTGGAAAATTAACTGCCCTACCTTTGTGTTTTCTCCAAGTTTTCCTCTGCCAGCAGTTACTGATGTTGAAGAAAAACCCAGACAAAGGAAAGGAGAGCTTAATGATTTTTCTTTTCCATAAAGAGAATTCAACTGCACGCCCACTGCATGCTGTGACTGACGCCCTCTGTTAAAGCGAATGAAAGGCCGTGAAAATGATTACTTTGGCTATTGATTACAGAGCAGCAGTCCCCCTATCGAGCAGTAAACCTTCCCACCTTCACTCAATATCACAAAGTGAATTAAAGAAAGTAAAAACAATAACCGTAAAGTCTATGTTAAGTACACATCTGTCAAAGGGGTAGCCACAGGTGAAAATCAGCACTCGCCTGTAAATCAGTTTCTTTCCTGCTGCACGGAGCGACGCCAGCTACCACACACCATGAGCTGCAGAAAGCAACGAGCTGCCTCTCAGAGCAATGAACCATGACCTGTGCTTTGATCTTTATGCCACAAGTTACAGGACGGGAAGATCGAGTGCAGTTGGCAGGCAAAACATTACAACCCCCTGACAGCTCTGCAGTCATGCAGGAGCTGTGTTTAATCTGCTGAATCCTGATTTTTTTACTCCTTTAACACAGCACACTTTCTTACTGTATGAAATATTATCCTCACAGTGTTGCTTTGTTCACATTTTTTGACTTAGTGAAATATTAATATGCCCAGCAGCCTGTTAGGCCTAAGTTGACACTAACATCTGTAACTTTATTTTTTTATACCAGCCATTCCTATTTATTTTCATTTTTAATTATATAATTCAACTGAAATATCGTGTTAAGCTTGTTTCTGTTAACCATTTGCCACACACAGAAAGAGTTGGAAAACACTATAACCAAGTTTTAAAAAATGGAATAACAAATCGGGGGGAAATTATGAATGACTAGTTTTACCCGATTAGCTGCACTCATGTCCACTAATTAAGGCAGGCTACATCATTCATCAGTGTGAACAAGCTTACATTTGATTCAGTGAATTCTTGAAGGTAAACGGTGTGTTTAAAAACTCCCAAATCCCAAATATTGGTTTTCTATCTACAGTGTTTTATGGTTTCATGTAATTAAACAAGCCACATTTTCATTAGAGTACCGTGTGTTTGGTGGTGTCACCTCACAGCAAGGACCCAAAGTGTGCCAGGAAAAAAATCTTTAAACAATTACACCACAACAAGCCCCCTTTCCAGTTCTTAGCTGACAGGAGTGACACTCAGTGTGGTCTTCTGCTGCTACATTCTGTGTTCATAGATGCTCTTCTGCAAACTTTGGTAGCAACAAGCGGTTATTTGAGATACTGTTGCAGATGGCAATTGACCTCTGACCTCAACAAGGCAGTTTCACCCTGAGAAATGGTGCTTTTCTCTTTTCTCATTCCTGTGCTTTAATGGCTTGCACAGTCACAAGATCTTAATCCAACGGTGCACCTTTGGGATGTGGTGAAACGGGAGGTGTTGAATCTATTGCCATAGAGCAGGGTGTCAAACTCCAGACCTCAAGGGCCGGTGTCCTGCAGGTTTTAGATCTCACCCTGGGTCAACACACCTGAATCAAAGGATTAGTTCATTACCAGGCCTCTGGAGAACTTCCAAACATGTTGAGGAGGTAATTTATCCATTTAAATCAGCTGTGTTGGATCAAGGACACATCTAAAACCTGCAGGACACCGGCCCTCGAGGAGTTGGAGTCACCTGTGCCATAGAGAATTAAGGTAGTTCTGAATGCCAAAGAGGGTCATTTCACACCATTTAAAATTCCCAAAGGTTTCCAAAAAACACCAAATAAGGTGCAAAACTGTTAGAAAATATGTTTAAATCTGCTGGCTTTTAAATTTAGGTGAATGGGCCCAATATTTGCTTCCGCTTTCCCAAAATTAAAATAAATCTACTTCTTTCTCATATTTCTCCTTTTTATCTCTGTGCTCATTTTAAGCAACAACAGGTGTTGGCTCCTTTTCATTCATTCATATATCGAGAATAAATGGACACACTCAGTCACTCAAATACTAAAAAAAAATAACTCATGATGAATTCAGTGCAATTAGGGAGCGATTACGAACAGTTAGTGGGTCGTTCAGTCACTGCCAGACAAATCTGATCAAATCACTCCCACACAATCCAGACGAGGTTCATTTGTCACTTATATTGTTGCTTTTTTGCAGCTTCTTTGGTCAAATATGCGGATTTTCATCCTAGACGTATTGCACTCGGCTGAAACCACCTCAGTGCAAGCTGGCCGTGATGGATTGATGACATCGGATGCGCTTTAGTGTCACTTCACTTGATATAATCTCACAGAGCTGCCCTGCTCAGGAGAAAACATACGCTTCCTGCTTCGATATGAAACTCAGACCCCAAATAAGCACGAGAATGATTCATTGGAATATCGAAAACAATACTAGAAACATGGATTCACTCCCTCCCCCTTTCTTACACAAACACACACTCTCACTGATACATAAGCACTTCCTGTCGAGTGCAGTGTGTCATGAATTACAAACAGCTTTTTATCTGAAATTGTCTCAGCCGTTTCCAGAACATGACTCTTTGTCCTGTTTGCCTTTTTGAATCTCTTAAACCTATCAGTTCTCCTGGCAGGGACTCTCAGCACGGAGCTCGCTTGTTGGACTTGGCAGGGAAGACGCTGATAGCCAGGGAAGACACGACCAGCGTCACATTCAATTTGTCCAATTATACTGACTCCGATAAACAGGACTGACGTGTAGAAAAGGTTGAATTTGTGAAGAGGGCTTCCAGCTCCTACTGTTTCGGTGTAATTTTATTATGCTGTGAAAGGTCAGTTTTCCCAATTACTGAAAAATATTTTCTCATTTTCCCCTTGTGGTATGAAGCAATGCAGACAGCTTTGGCTTTGTTCACTCAAATGTCTGACTTTTGAGTTTTTCTGCACTGGGGATGAACTGACCCTGCAAGCATTGTTTTCTATGCTGTATCTGGTCAGACATTAATATCCTTGAAAATGAAAACAGCTAAAAAGACTTAAATTCACATTTATCCACAGTGTTACAGTCTGATTGAAATAGGTTTTTTAATTATTATTATTGTGTTTTTGTTATTCTGCATGTCATAGTTCTGGAGTTGTTGAAAAAAGAAAATTAATTAAAATTCAGAGAAAAAGTTTTTCTAGAATTTTCTAGACTAAAATAAAAAAAATGTACAAGAAAAACAATGACCAAAAACTTTATGAAAAAATTTTTTTGCATAAATTTGACAGTTTTTGTTTTCAGAAGCTTACAGAAGCATACATTTGACTATTTTTTCTTCATAATTTCGAGGGGTTTTTTTCTTGTTAATTTGCCCTTCTCGCTGTAATTCTGCTATTTTTCCCTCATAAATTAACCATTTTATTTGCTGTAAATTTGCCTTTTTTTTTCTTTTTAACTTTTTTCTTGGAAATGTATTCTTTTTTTCTCCATTCTTTTCTCATAAATTTGGTATTTTATTGCTTGTACATTGGTGATTTTTACTTGTTAATTAGACGATTTTAATTTTTTGTTTGTCTTTTTTTCTTGTGTCTTGTTTTGCCTTATTTTTTTATTCCGTTCTGTCCTGTTGGCTTTACCTGTTTTTGTTTTTTTTCTTCTACCTGTGTCTCGTCCTCAGTCACTCCTGTGTGCACTCCTGTGTGCACTCTGTGTTTCACTCTTCAGTTCCTCATACTTCTTATCCCCCTGGTTTTGGATCCTTGTTTAGTTTTTCTACCCTGTGCCTTTGTGTCCTAACTCCTGCCACATTACATATGGCTTAAAAGAAAAAGGTTAGTAGACATCTAGATCACACCTAGCTGCTTCAAATATGCAAAGGCATGTATCTGCAATTGAGCTGGCTGTGAAATAGGTGTGAACAGACTGCCATAGAGTGGGACTCACTTGTTGAGTTTCGCCATGTAGATCTTGATGTGGCTGAAGTCCGGCCTCTCTGCAGGGTCCTCGGCCCAGCAGCCCTCCATCAGGATGGTCAGCTCCTCTGAATGGTATCTATTGTCTGTGGTTGGCCGAAAGTATGGCTTCTGACCGTTCCTCACCTTCTGAACAATTTCTGGAGACGAGAAGACAAAGTGTGAAAGTCAGCAGGTTATTATAATAGTCAGGACACAATTGAACAGCTGAAAACCAACAGAGACAGATACAGTGACAAATATTTGCCTCCTGATTTTATAGTTTTTTGCATATTAGTCACATTCACATGATCATCAATTAACTGTGATTAAGCACATTTTTTAGAGAGCTGAGTTCAATTTCAGCCACACCCACTGAATCAAGAAATCAGTTGAATAGAACCTGACTGACAAAGTGAAGTAGAGTAAAAGATCTCAAAAAGCAACACATCATCCCACAATCCAAGAAAACAGATGAGATGAGAAACAAAATGACATCTATCAGTCTGGACAGGGTTACAAAGCAGTTTCTTTGGGAACAGTGGTGAACTTTCCCAAGAGAAGCCTACTAAAATTACTACAGGATTACTACAAGAGGCCACTGATGACTCATCCAGTAGGTCACTAAAGAACCCAGAACAACATTGAAAGAACTGCAGACCTCACTTGCCTCAGTTAAGGTCTGAGTTCATTATTCAACGATAAAAAAGTAACTGGGCAAAAGTCACATCCATGGGAGATGCAGAAACTAACACAGCATTTCATACAAAGAACATCATACCAAGTGTCAGACATGACTGTGGTGGTGTGACGGTCTGGGGCTGCTTTGTTGCTTCAGGATGACTTGCTGTAATTGATGGAACCATGAAATCTGCTCTCTACCACAGAATCCTGAAGATGAATGTCCAGCCATTAGTTCATGCCCTGCACTGATGGCCAGAGACAGAAGCACTTCGGATATGCAGCAGGACAATGATCTGAAACGCAGCTGCAAATCCACTGCTGAATGGCTCAAAAAGAAATAAAGGTTTTGGAGTGGCCTAATCAAAGTCTGGACTTAAATCAGATTGAGATGCTTTGGCATGACTTTAAACAAGGTAGATAACCTCCAAGTGTGGCCGAATAAAAACAATTCTGCAAAGAAGAGAGGGACGAAATTCCTCCACAGGAATTTGAAAGACTGACTGTCAGTTATCACAAACGGTTGACTGGAGTTCTTGCTGCAAGTGGTGGACCAACCAGTTGTCAGTTAAGTGGAAAAATGTTTCCCTTGTTAAAGAAAATCATCTTTTAAAAACTGCATTTTGTATTTACTCAGGTTATCTTTGTCTAATTTTGTTTGTTTTATCTTAAACATTTAAATGTAAGAAACATACAAATATTACTGGTGGCTCCCAGTGCTACCCCTCAGCCTCCTGGTAGACACACCAATAGTCTCAATTTCAAAATCTTACATTGCCTTGTTGTCAAGTTATCACATTCACAAGATTTTCAGAAAATGTACTTACTTGAGGTCAAAGTCACTGAGATTCAAACTCATCGAAGTAGATACACCTATGGTGTCAGTTTGAAGCTCCTATGTCACCTCATTCTTGACTTATCGCATACATAAACGTATGCCTTCATGTCGCCCACCCAGTGGGGTGGCAACATTACCCAAGAAACTAAGAAATCAGGAACAAGGCAAACACTTTTTCATAGCACTGTACACCATCTCAACAAGGAGCATAAAGTGCAGCATTTTTTGGCAGCAAGTGAAATTTAATATGCTTTTCTCAAGGTCTTATTACAATATCAGCAAAAAAATCCCTGAGTCCAAATTTGGTAATCGGTATTAAATGTTTTTATAAGTTGTAAGATCTAAGTCATCATCAATAATGAGAAGTAGACTCTTCTGAGAAACGTGGGTTGTCATCTGTTCTCTGAGACATAACTGGTGTGTTGGATATTGTTATCTTTGGGCAGACCCAGGATATTTCTTCCTCTTTCCAGTTTCTCTGAAGTATTTCTCAAATTTATCTTACTTCCTAATCTTGTGAAAGTCTATAGGTCATCTCAGAAATGTGTTATTAATGCTTACAACAACAAGTGATGTGATGTCACTTTGAGGACATCAGTTAGCAATGATAGGATATACTCAAATGATTAAATGATTGAGAAGGAATTCATGACAAAAAAGACATTACTTCATTTCACTGCTGCTCACCCAGGAGGGTCCTCTCACGTTCTTTTAATAAAATAATTGGTCACACTGCCAGTCTGGTAACTGGGGACTGTGTGGACCCCAACACTATGCTCTTTATTTATTAATGAAATTAATAAATAAAGCAGCTAGATCTTTGGAAACAACGCTCAGCTTTGGTCGCAGTGCAAAGAAACATCATTTATCAAAACAGCGCACTGTCCAAAAAATAATTTATTACTAGGGATGGGTATCGTTTAGGTTTTATCCGATACCGGTGCCAAATCGGTACTTTTGAAACGGTGCCGGTGCTTAAACAGTGCTCAAACCGGTGCTTAAAGAATGGAGAACACAAAATTGGTCCAAAAACCTCTCATGTTCAGCTG